TTTACACCGGTTTACTAATGTACAAACAATATACATTACCGTATAATGTTTATTATGTTAAAATTACATAATTACGCATATTATTGTATGTTAAAATTAATCATATTTTATGGTAGTATTATAGGCATTAAGAATTTAGGTAGTACAATACGTGTATTTAATAATGAGTATTTCGTTGTTAAAACTATAATATCGGAAAAATAAGACATAATATGTTTTTAAAAAAATGTTGACGAAAAAATAAATCGTTATTATTTTTATTTACACTACCTTCATAAACGTTATAGCTTTTATTGCTTCGTACGCGTTATTATATAAGATTTCGTAAAAAAAAAACCATATTGATAAAATAACCGAAAGGTTATATACTATAAATTAATTATACGTTATTATTATTATGTAATAAACATTTAAAAGAAACTGTATGGAGTATAAAAATCGAATAACAGCGTATAAATTATACATATGTGCAGTGGTACACGCTGTATACTCTCAAAATTATTTTGAAAATGTACAGGTATACTAGGTATACTCTCAAATATTAATCACTTTACGAAGAAGTATTTAATGCAGGACCAAAGTTAGGATAAGAGCGGGGGCTAGAGGAGATTACGGGTATAATTCCTGAGAGGACGCAAAAATTAAAAATTTGCCATTTAGTTATTACTTATAACTTATTACTTATAAGTAAAAGTAATATTATGTATTTATGTATTTACTTGTATAACTTATAAATATTAATATATCATGCTTATGTATGTACTTAAAATTATTATGTATATTTATATTTTAATAAGTTATTAATTTAAATAAAATTAACAAACGCTTACATAATTATAAGGAAATATCATTATTTATATTGCGTTTATAAAAAATATTCAATTTTTTATGATTTTTTTTTTATAAATTAAAAGACTTAAGGGCGCATTTTGAAGTTTTACCCCGGGCGCAATATTTGGTTGCTACGGCCTTGATTAAATGTAATTAGATATACAGGGTTTAATTTTTAAATTTCTTGGAGATATTAGCTCACCAAAAAGGTCAAATTTGAATTTTTTAAAACATTCAATGGTTATATATTATATCAATTTATTATTCTGTCCATAACTCATTAATTTTATGTTAAAATTTTCGACGACATTAATAATTCAAACGTCGTGTGCTTAAGCGATTCGCGTGACGACCTGCAACTAGGTATGAAATAGTTGATTGATTGATTGGCCGGTCTACTTTAGTCATCACTTAAACAGATTAATTTTATTATTTGATTTTCATATTAATTATTATTTATTTTAAGAATTGAAATTGAAATTGAAATTGGACTTTTTATTTTTATGTTTTGAACCATGATCCCCAAAATATTATTCTGTTTATTAAATTTAAAATTGTGAAGTTATTCACAAAAAATATTTGGTTAAAAAACAAAAATAACAGTAATTACCATAAAAACTGATGGTAAAAATAATTTGTTTACAGATCGTTCTTTAAAGATTCACATTTTTTTTAAAAACGGTTTGGTCATACGGGTAACGGGGGTAATAAAATCTTCGCAAAAAAAAGATAATAAATCCTTTCGGTGACACTGTATATGTGTATAAATAGGATATCCTCTTGACGAACATGAGCCCTGCTGATACCCAAACACACGCGGATGTAAATTCATTGTTATATCCTTAAGGTAGTTAAGGATACCATGCATATAGGTTTCCGGTATACAGGACACTGTGGCCATGTCGAGCATAATATATATTATTATATATAAACGCGATGCAATTCAATACTGTATAGTGAGTATGGAAAATGGTTGGGGCAAGAATGGTCTTGCGTTCTACTTGCATTTCATAGCAGTTTTATTTTACTAATACGATAGTACCGTTTGATTGTTGTGGTTCTCTTCGCACCAGTGGAATGTTAACGTTAATTCGTGTGTATTGTATGAATCACTCATTACAATTTGTTTTCTATAGGTAACTCATTAACCTCGTTGTATAATCTTACCAATATACATACGAATAAATAATTACCATGAAAAATTAAAAACAAATGATATATCGCGCGTAAAAAGCGGGCAATTTCTCAGTATTTGTCCTAACAAATTATGGTGTATATTTTTCTAAAATGTTTAGTTACAATTTGCGATAACGTTCTGTAATTGCACGATACGACAAAAGGTGCTAAAATATAAATACTTTTAAATTTAAAAACGTTCGAAATATCATTCCATTCGGACGACTAAATAAAACCTATTTATGGTCACATATATAAGGCCATAGATTAAAAACATTCTTAATCTATGATTACATTTTATTTCCATGATGAAAAAAGTAACTAAAATAGTAATAACAATAAAGCTCATTACCAGTATTTCTATATAGATTTTACCTAAAATAATCTATGTCTACTTACGTAATGGACAATTTAAATTCGAAGTGTTATTTCTATGCACGGTGGGTGCACTAAAGAAATATATAACTGGCAGTTAACGCTTTGCGTTTTTTTTTCTTGTTTTTGTTGACCTACCTGTGATGTACATTTTAACTGGGTTTCTAAATATTTATTAGTGGAATGAACGAGAGAAAAGAATATGACGAAAAATAATGTGAAAACAATTGTTGAAAGAAAGAAAAAACAAAACGAACATTTTAAAATATACTTTATATAGTGTTTTTAATTATTTTATTTTCACTTGGAACGTGGAATGAGCATGTCATATAAAAAATATATACACGACTGAATTTCGTATAACAGTCTAAGAAAACTATTCTCATACTTCGATAAAAGACACAAATCGTCTACAATATTTTTATTATTTATTGAATAAGTATACTTTTTTTTTTTTATGAAATCTGTTATCACAAGAGAGATTTGTATTGATGGTACTACAAAAATCAAACATTTATTTAAATTTTACTTTATTTTCTGATTTAAATTTAGAATTAATGTAACTGTAAAAAATAACACTAAACCATATATATATATATATCATCTAAAGTCATCATCTCTCACTACCTAAACTGGAAAATTAAATTTTTTCGATCATGTTGTACAAATATTATAGGTGTTTAATTTATAGTGTAAAATTATAGATGGTTAACCTCCCATGTCAATTAGAGATAAGTAGGTTATACAATTTAAAATTAAAAATATATTTTTATTTACACGTTGCTGTAATAATATTAATTTTTTTGAATAGTCATCATTTCCATGTATATTACTAAAATTTTATTATTTGATTGAGTAATATTGTTATATTAATGTCGAATAGAAATATCTGTTTACTCATTAAATTTCATAACATCGCGTTAAAATTAAATCACACTGTTAAATTTAAAATTAATACAGAATAAACGATTTATAGTGATAATAGCATACAGTTTACTGAATAAATTAACGAATTCGAAGGATTTAACTTGAATTTTACTATGAAATACATTTTAAAATGGTAAAAATGACGTTTATTAATCTTTTTAAGACATATTCAATATTTAAGGGAGTTTAATTTAGGTCTAGGTGTGTACAACAGCTTACGGCATACATATACATAACTTATGTGCGGGTTATTTGTATTTTTGTGTAGTCGTGGGGGTTGTACAAGTACCTAGTAACCGTCTTCCCTCTATCTCCGTGCATATTTCAACTAATATACTGGGCGACATAAATGTCGCCTAGTAAATATTTTTTGTCGTCTAGAAAATGATATATTTAATTACTGGGCGACAACATTGTTTTGGTAAAAATTAAGATGTTTGTAATTATTTTAAAATTGTATTTATTATTGTTTTCATTATGCTTGATTTTGTAACTTGTTTATCATTTCCTTCGGTTCACATTTATATTTTGTGACACACGAACGTCACTCGATTTTTCAGGTTGAACCTGAATATGAACAATGTTTATATTTTTAATGAATTTGAACGATTTTTGGGTCGTTCAAATGTATTTCATCATCATACCCATATGGCTCCTATGGCTTCAAGACTTCGTAAGAGTTTTCTCTGCCTCTGTCAAAGCACTCCAACTTCCACGACCCTTAATCAACTCTTCCCAATTTATAATAACTAGTATCTCTAGGTCTTTTATGCCATCTATCCAGCGTTTTTTTTTGGCCTGTTCTTTTCTGGTTACCAATCCATGGTTGGTCTAACTTTGCTTGTCGCTTCTTTCCATTTAACATAGCGACCGAACCATTTTAGCCTTTGTCCTTTTATGTAACTTATTATCATGGGTATTTTTTGTACTTTCCCCTTATCTATTTTTTATTTTATACTAGTAATTGGCTATATCATTATAAACATCTAGGTACTTGGGATGTTTAAGTATATTCTATATGACATTCGTGGTTTATACCGATAACGTGTACTAAAAAAAGTTGAGTATGGATGAGTTTTATACGAACCGAAATCGTTCAACGAGCCTCATGTTACAGTTTGGTGTATAATAGTGTTTTCATGGGTGGCCTATGTGCAACATGGTGATTCGATATTTTATTTCATTACTCCATGCCTATAGGGTTATGCGTGATTTTAAAAACACAGCGAACATTTCGAATTTTCAGTTAGACGGTTGAAAAACATTCGGGTACGTTTAACACGGTATTTCCTGGTCGTAGACGACAATAATCGATTATTCATACTGCGGTAGGTGTACAATGCAAACATACTGTTAATACCTGGTTCCGTGTACGTGCTCAACGTTGACGGATGTTTCGCACGCGTACACATCGCAATCGAAATGAACAACGAGGCATTAATTATTATTATAATTATAAAAATGTGTCGTCGGAGGGTCCGCGGGGATGAAACAGCGGCGGGGCACGCATGCGCGACGTATCGACTGGGTGCAAGACGCCCACTACTACCGCCGCCGTCACCGATCGGTATTTTATTATTATAACAATTTTATATCACACGGGCCGGCACGCCGCAGTGCACGCACGCGCAGCACCTGCCGCGCAGCCACCGGCGACCGCGCGAAAACGGCGCTGGGCTGGTGAACGTACGACGTCGATTGCAATACTACGCGAACAACCGTCGGACGCGCAACACCCGCCCGCATTCGACGAACGTACACGATCACGCGCGCGCACCACTACGAAAACGTGCGCAATATTATCAAACATATTCCGTTGATTGCGTTTTGGTACACGATTTAAACATTTTTTCGATTTCGACACCAGTACTTACTGCCGGCGGTGTGTCCGTCCGTGTATGAAAACCGTTGGTTCTACCTCGTCTCGTCAATCCGTAGTCTAGCGAACCCGAGGAGCGGTTAGGTTTCGTTGTCGCATCTCGTCGTCGAACTCAGAACATGGATAACGTTTCGGTTTCATCGGGGTCCTCGTGCACGTCCGGCGGGGCCGCGGACGGCGACGAACTGTCGGCCGTGCTCAACAGACGCCAGAAGATCAACGAGGCGCTGGAGGATGGCAAACCGGTGCCTCCGCACTTCAACAGGCGGCAGAACACGAAAAACGTGTACCTGGAGTTCAAAGAGTTCTCGCGGAAGCAGATCAACGAGTACGAGGCGACGTTCAAGAAGTGAGTTTACGTCGATAATTTTTACGTCGCATTGTAGCGCGTATTTTATTCGTTGTCAATCAATAAATCGTACCACCGGACGTGCCTTAAAGCTGGTGGTGTCTTGCAGTGTTAAGCGCGACGCTATTTATATTTTTCTTATGCGTGGGCGTGTTGCGTGCCCCGGCCGCAGCCCCGAACCTATCGGACAAGGGTGTTGTTGTCACGCTGTCGATAATGATTATCGCGACGTTACGATATACGTAACGCGTGGGGTCCCTCGTCTGGCCGACAGCTGATTTGCATGCGAATTTCAAGTACTCGACGAGTTACAGTGTCACGTCTCTCCCCGTACGTTGCCCGCCCGCGTATCCGGAATAATCTACACACACACACACACACGATTCAGGTCGTTAGTCATCGTTAGTTATCATCACTTATAAATCCGCGTCTAGGTGCGGATGCGCTTGTGCACGTGTGCGCAATATTGCCCGGCGGAACGTTGAAAATAACTCGTATCCGGTTTTCCGGGGCCGACCGATAATCTTCCGAGACGATACGGTAGAGCCGCCAGTGTTGTGTGTTCATGGTTGTGACTGGTTACCGCGTAATATCGCGTCGAACGAACCGAAATCCGTTTCGAACAGACCACGAACGCCGCTCGGCACGCGCTCGTAATTATTACTATTATCATCGCGATTTCTTTACGTGCGCTACGGTCACCGTACACTGCACGGTAACGATTATTATGAGCATTATAGACATGTGATGTTTCACCAACACGGACCGTGCACAACGTGTTCGTTCGGTAGCATGAAATGTGTACCATAATAATGTTGTGTTTGTATATTTTTTTATCGTTATCGACGGCATGCGTCTAGAAAAGGTCATGGGTTTTTTTTTCTTCAGATGTACACATTTTATACTTATACAATATTTGCATGTGTTACATTATTACTGTATTGTGTTCGCGCATGTACGTACACAATACTGAACTGTAGGTGCACCACCATGTAGTTAGGTGAAGCGCAAACTTTCCGTTTATTCATTTAATCCCGGACTGCTATACATTTATCAAGTTTTTCTCTGAGCGACGTGCGTTTTCAGTGAGTTATCAGTTCTAAAATGGTTCATTTGTTTATCATTTTTCGTTAGATTTCGTTAAATTATTATGTAAAAAAAATAGAAACTACGAACATTCGCCAATAGTCTTACAAAACAATTTCTTTATTAGGTTTATATGGCTTAAATTCAGAGTAGAAATATTATTGAATATTTTTATACTTGTATTGTTTAATTAGTAACGGTTTTAATTAACTTTACCAACAAATATGTACATAATATTTGCGTCATTTCGTGTATGTATATAAAAAATCTGTTATCTTATATCGTGAGTTTGAAAAAGTATTTTTTAAGCTATATAAAAATCTTTGCATAGTTTACTTAGCTAACTTAGTTTTTCTTTCTTATATAACAATTTAATTACTGTGTTTGCAATGCATTGAGAAAACGTGTGAATTATGAAATGATGAGTATACAATGTTAGTTTTAAATTAGGTCTTTTAAATTATTTCTCTGTGAAGATATTTATGGTATTTTTATTACTTTCGTTTTGAAATTTATTTATCAAATATCGGCAAACATAAACTCTTATAGTACATATGACATCAAATAATATTGACTCTTACTATAAAAATTAAATTTGAACTTTCTCTCGTTTTTTGTTCGTACGTGTTTGTTTGGTCAAAAACGTCGACGATTGTTGAAAACTGCGGACGGATGTAGAAATTAATCATAAAGTGAATGTTTTGGTTTACGTCAGAAAAAAATTATTTTTTAATGTAGTTTCACTGTGTGTAATATATTTAAATATGAAATGTTAATTCATGTATTCAACAAAAAAAGTATTTTAATAAATATCTATCGATTGACGATTTTATTCAAGATATTTTCTCTTATATATATATATATATATATATATATATATATATATATATTTACTTTGCTATAATAATATGATTAGTGATAGATATTATGCACAAACTTTTTTTTATGATACTTCATCTGTTATAACTCATTTTAAGAAATTTTCCAATTAAATATGTAGTACAATAGTTTGGTATATTTATGATCAATAATTATTAATTAATTAATTATTTTGCATAGTTAAAAATTATTATATATTAGGATTTCTATGTAAATTCATAAAATATACATTTTTGCAGTAAATAGTGTAATATGTTATAAGTATTCTATTTCCATTCTTACGTATCAATACAAAAATAAGAACTATTTGTTATTAGAAGAATTGTAAGAATTCAATGAAATTATTTTTTGTACGAGAGATATTTTCTTTACTACGGATATTGTGCTTTTTTTTTTTTTCATGTTTCTCCATTAAAGAATCATCTCTAATTACAAGTACGTCAGTGCCATATAAATACACGTTTTCATGCGCTCTAGAATTCTGTATAGATGCTTGACTAATATAATATGTCCGTCATTAATGGTTTATTTCATATACGAAACTTTTTACTACGTAATTATCTTGATCGTTAACCAATGCTATAACCGATGGATTACCGCTATTAGAACGTAAATACAAGTGAAGTCATCGGCCTGTTAAAGAAAAAAACTGTATTGAATGTCACTTTTTGTATCGTATATAGTCATGTATATAGAATTGATATGAATTTCGGTCATGGGGTTTATTATGACAATGGCATTTACACATAAGTCTGAGATATTTATCGCAATGAATGCTTATACCGTAAACTATCGATCAGAAAGTATGTTTGTTGATTACTTGTCTCGCTCCTAATGAAGTAAACGATTGATTATAGAATGAACATTTATATTATAGTGTATGTTTAACTAAGTACATTATAAAATCAAAGGAGAAAACACGAAAAAATAAAAAAAATTTAAAGGAGTGCCCTTCGTGTGAAGTCTGCTGGGTTTCAAATTTCAACTATAATCATACTCGTATACACACATATGCCCGTATTATAAAATATGTACACTACACCCACGCAATCGAAAATTTTGTTGTTATTATAATATGCATTTTATTTTTACATAACGCACACACGCACATGTTGACGATATCGTATGTTACGAGAATTTTGTCAATAAACTCTCCTACAACGAATACGCGTGCGACAATAGTCGATAACGCAACATGTCGCAGATTATATTATAATGGGCCGTGTGTACTGAACTCCGTGGAGTCCACGTCATAGACTGAAGTAGTAATGGAGAGGAAAATTCTATCGGACTTGTGTTAGAATACGAACGATAAAATATATGCCGATGCTAAAAATTATCTTCTTTGTTTTGAAATTTAATCACTACCCACTCTATGAGATACGCACCGGGGCACTGAACGATTTCGTGTTTTTTTAACGGTTCAAAGTTCATGTGTCGTACGACGAATGCAGCAGCAACGCGTACGCAAACCATGCATATAGGTAATCAATCGGTCGTAAAATGTTATTATATAAAAGTATCATAATTTGTTTGACGTGATGCGTGAGCGTGGAGAGTTGGTAACCCACAATTTTCCATCGAAAGTAGAAAAAATGGGAAAAATATTATGTCCTAAATAACTCTAAATAATTTTCATCGATTGGAGGTGTTTAAAATGGTAGTTGATGTGTTAAATGTGGTATTACGTAGAAAAATACATTCATACAAGGATGTAGCTATAGGAAATAGTTACTGAGATTCAATCCAATTACCATTATTTTTTAAACCTGTTTTTTTGAGGTATATATTCTATTTTACTAAGAAATTTTTAAATGAATATCACGATAATATTATTACAATTTAATTTACATTGACTCATTTAAAAATATGTTGAAACCCGCCCTGAAGACTAAAAAAAAAACATGAAGAAACAGATTGTCGAGTTTTATTATCACTGAATTTGACTAATTAATCAATTATACTAAATCAATGACTTAATTATTTTTTCGATTTTCGTAAATTTGGTAAATCAGAAATATCTATAATACTGAGTGTTGAACGCCATGTTAATTTTAGATAATGTGCTTAGTATTTTTTATAATTAATATGTCTTGGCAAATTTATTTCCACCATGATCTAATTATTTTCATTAAATAATTGTAATTATGCATTGTGTTTATATATGTCGTTATTTAAAGAGAGACAATTTAAAAACAACCGTAAAAAATGCTTATTTAAACAATATAAATATACAACTATTGCTATTCTAATATTATATTATATTATAATAGACTTTCCGTAGTATGTCTCAACATTTTCAACTGTATTTAATTGTTTGTATTTCAATTATGTATATATTGCTATAGGTATTCATGGTATATTGCAATATATTATTAATTTTTAGATTATCTATATGTAGTACTAACGCATGATATTTATGTATTCCTGGTAGATTTGATTAATATGCATAAATTGTTTGATTTATAAACGTTCAACGATTCTTTAATACATTAGGTATTTAACGTAGTTATTCTCCAAAACGTTACACGTACCCAACTCAAATTTTTGCACATGTAGATTGAAACTTGGACATAAATACGAAATTCTACAGTGGCTGTACCTAATTTACCGTCAAATATGCTGTAGTATTAGTGTCATTTTACGTGGAGTCGTTGAGATGTATAGATTATATTATCTATGTATATGTAATATTTTATATGTATGTTGCAAGCATTAATGTATAATAAATATATTTAGTATTCGTTTACTTCACGTTATAGTAGTTAATGATGCTTAATAACTAATGATAGTTTCCATAAAATCTAAAGGATTACTAACGCGTTACTCACAAAAAATATTATGTATTCATTATTGCGTGCATTAGTGTTTGAGGTTTACTTTTTAGTTTATTAGTCACACATAAATATTTAACGATTTGTCATAACTATTCAATTGATATTGAGGTAGGTATGCACATTTTTAAAACCTACGCATAATTCACGAATATATATTTTTATAAATGTATAATTGTATAAAATGTAATAAATTTTGTA